TATTCAACCCACTACTATTCGCGTTTATCATTAAAAATGAATAGTAAATGATTCGTTGGATAGACAGAAAAAAAAAAAAGAAAAGAAGAGCAAATTAACGGATCGATCGAAAAAGGAAAATTCCTTAGAAAAGAGAGAAAAAAAAGAATTAAAAAATTAATAAGAACAAGAATAGAATAGGTATCTGATAAACAAAGTTAGATATATATTAGTATATAAAAGGGAAATAATATATTATTATAGCCGTTTCGTCTATCGTCTCGAGTCCGATACTTCGCGAATTTAGGTTTAAAATGTAATAGTAATTTTAAGAAAAACGACGGACCGCTAAGAAATTAATAATTTCGACCGATGGAAGTGGTCGAAAAAAATAAAACATATCTACCTGCCGCATATCTTTAGTGGCCGCACGGTGCGTACGTTTTTGTGCTTATCCAGCATGCGCATGCATTTATTTATTATTTGTATGAATTTCTTTGAAAAGACAAAACTGTTAAACTAATATATACATATATATATATATATATATAATAATTATATTTACATGCATAAAATTTTTGTTCACACTTCATATTATAACTTCGCTTGATTGCATCATAGAATCGTTGTGTTAGAATAACGTTCGTAAATTTTCATTTCATTTTATAATAACAATGAACTCTTTTATACGTGACCTTTTTTTAATCATTTAAATGAAATTTTGTAAAATTGAAAAAACAAGAAAAAAATGTAATTATCTTATAATACGAATCGGTGAGTTATTAAATTAAAGTAACGATCATTATTAATAATCCTTTATCGTGAAAATTAGTTCGTTAAATTAAATTACATCGAACGTTGATATTGTTTTTTTTTGAAGATTTCTACAAACGCATGGATTTAAAAGGGTTAATAAATAATTATCGATTTTATTGGAAAAAGATAATAATGAAGTTAATTATATTAACGAAAGAATTTTTGATATTTTACGAACGTTACCATTAGAATGCTAGATTTAAATTTATTTTATGTGACACCGTAGAAAGAAACATTTATATATAATATATATATATATTAGACGTCATCTTTTTTTCTTACTTAATATAGCTGATATGTAAGTTGTTATTTATATATTATATATATATACCCGTTGGACGCAAGTAATATATGCACTCGCTCGTCGCGTGCACCGAGTTTTTGGCTTGGACATTGTTTTTTGCCGTAACTCGACCTTAACGAGAGTGACAAAGCTAATGAAATTTTAAAACAATAATAATGAATATCGTTTAATTACGATTGAACGATTAAAATGAATTAATATAACAATCGTGCAAATATAATTTTCGCAAGGACGAAATTAATCTACGACGAATCTATTTCACGAAAAACAACAAAAAGAAAAAAAAAAAATAATAATCAACGATATATAAAGAAAGAAAACTTATACTTATAATGTTTTCATTTCGAAATTTTTGTCAATGGTAAGCAAAAAAAAAAGGGAAAAAAAATATGAAGTCACACGAACAAATTATTATCAAACGCACGTTTGTTTTTGTTTTCGTGAGATCGACGGATCGTACGATAAAATATATTATGTAAAAGTTTTACTTTTACTTTTATATATATGGAAAAAAAAAAAATTACAAAAAAAAAAGAGAAAAGAAAAAAAGACATTTCTAAAAAAATACTTCGTCAATTTTATAGGTGCAGCAGCAAATCTACGCAAGGAAGTAATAAGAAACAAGATCAGAGCCATCGGCAAAATGGCGCGTGTCTTCTCCGTCCTAAGGTTTGTAATTTCTATAGAAAAGGAAATGAAACGAATAATATGGAAATCAAATATTAACGAAATTTCATTATTCATTATTAAGGGAGGAGAGCGAAAGCGTGCTACAATTGAAGGGTCTCACACCCACTGGAGCCCTACCACTTGGTGCATTGTCTGGGGGAAAGACATCCTTAAAAAATGGTAAATATTACTTTTGTCTATATTTTGTTTTGTTTACAATCGAAGCTTACAATTAAAAATGAAATTAATTATGCTTTAAAAATCTTTTCCATATAATCATCAGAAATGTGGGATTAAGACTCGTATATAATTAAATATTATTAATATACTGTTATACACATTGGATAATTGTTTCCCTATATTATATTTTTAACGCATATCTGTTAAATTTGTCATGAACATTTTCTCAGGTTTATTATTTAACAAATACTTTTCAGAAAATCGTAATAAATGAATAAACAATCGAAATATATGTAAATCTATTAGATTTTATTCGAGAAATTCACAAATTATCGGCATGTGGCTCGTTATATTTTGTAATAATTGAAAAAAAATAATAAGAAGCAAGGAGACGCCAGGATTATTTCCCAAAGAAAAATTAGAAAATGGGAAAACATTGTTAAATACTTATTTTTTTTTTCAATTCTTGCTTGTTGCTTTCTCAGCACTCCAAGGATTTTCACCGAATCACAAAATCACCTCATTCGCCGAAGCAAAGGGGTTAGATGCTATAAACGAAAGAATGCCACCGAGGAAGGACGCCCCACCGACTCCCGTGAACGAGGAAAAACCGGTGATAAAACCGTCGACTCCTGTAGGAGACAAGCGAGACCAAAGCACACCGCAACCGCAATCGTGAGCCACACACACGTCCAATCAAGGTACGGTATTCGTCTTCTCAGATGTACCTTTTATAAACAACAAGAAAAAAAAAACTTAAAAGGTCTCATTTATTATGCAGCGAGTCATAATTATATCCAACTACACCTTCATAAAAACGCGATAATTATAATTATTTATTTATGGGAAATATATTCGTTTCGAATTTAAATATCCTTAAATATCTTCAATTAATTCTACCTAATATTAATAATAATAATAATAATAATAATAATAATTTGAGTAACGAAGAAGAACGATAAAGAATAATAATCAATAGTATTTTCATCTTACGATTATTAATTTGTATTTTGTTATTATTAATATTTAAAAAAAAGAAATGAAGAACCCCACATTTGAAATTTTACGATTCGAATTTTCAATCGCAATGGGTAATTATTAGCGCGCGTTAGATTCTTTAAATTTTAATATAACATTATTTTATTTAAGGATAAGATTAATATGAAAAGTAATAATAATAATAATTGACGTTTTCTTTTCAGACGGCGAGGATGGACTGTAAGTCCCAAATGCTGTCATCGCCGCCTCCGAATAAGATACAAACAAGCATTGTTCGTCTCTCCCACACGACTTTTATCACTGGTACGCCATTCAACGAGTGCGGAAGTCGTCACAGACGCGAGGAGGAAAAGGAGAAAAGAAAGGTGGGAAAGGAGGATTAGGAGGAGGAAGAAGAGGAGGGGCAGGGGGAGGAGGGGGTTGAACAAGTTCGAAAAACAAAAAGTGGAACATGGGAATTGAATTGTCATCGCCGTCGTATGAAGAAGAAAGTAAATGTACAAGAAAAAATACGGAAACACGTGAACAAGATGAAAGATATAGATAATGGAGAAACGGAAGAAAAAAGAAGAGGAGAAGAAGAAAAAGAAGAAGAAGAAGAGGAGGAGGACATAACATAATTAAAAGAAGGAAGAAAATGTTTCGAAAATGGAAAAGAAGCCTCCCATCTTCCTCCCCCTCCCCACCTCCCCCTTTTTACCCCCTGGGATGATAAACGAATATACAATGAACTCTCGCGTCTAATGAAAAAAAATGTTCGACTTTATCGCGAAACAAAATGGCGCTTGCACGACGTCTCCTTAAATCTCTCCATTTTGTTCTCTTAATTATCGTTACATCGATGTATAATCTTTCTCTCTCTCTCTTTCTCTCTCTCTCTCTCTCTCTATCTCTCTCTCTCTCTCTCTCTCTCTCTCTCTCTATCTCTCTCTCTCTCTCTCTCTCTCTCTCTCTCTATATCTCTCTCTTATTCACTCTTGTTCTTTCTTATTCTATCTTCTTCATCTTTTTCTTCTTCTTATTCTTCTTATTCTCCTTCCTGTTCGTTTCTTTCGCATTCTCGCCTGTCATCTGGTAATGTTTAATAAAACATGAACGCGTGTTGTTTCATTATTTATAACTGATGAGAACAACTAAAAGGATTAAAAAAGAAATAAAGAAAAAGAGAAAGAGAAAGGGAGAGAGAGAGAGAAAAGGAAGATGGATATTAGTGTCAAGGTGAAAAAAACACAGGACGTCTTGCACGCGCTCTAATAAATACTTATATGTACACGTAAAAGTCTAACGAAAAAGAAAAAACAAAAAAGATAAGAAAGAAAGAAAGAAAGAAAGAATGATAGAATATGAGAGAGAGAGAGAAAGAGAGAGACGGACAGATAGAAAGATAGACAGACAGACAGATATACAGACGGTAAACGGACGAGCTATCTCCGCCGAAGTAAAAAAAAAAAAAGAATAAAAAAATAAAAGTAAAAATAAAAGTAAAAGTAAAAGTAAAATAAAATAAAATAAAATAAAATAAAATAAAAAAGAAAAGGCAGCTGGCCTGTCGTTAAGGCGGAGCTTCCGGTTTTAGAATTTTACTAGATTCTTAAAAGAAAGCCCGCCCTGGGCTGCTGTGGGTACACATTAACACACACATATTACACGCAAACACATATATACACTTATACACCACGTATACCGCGCGTGAGACCCACGACAGAGGATGGGTTTTACTTAAATCTTAAGAGTCGAAAAAAAAAATGACAAGAATTATATATTATCATCATTATTATTATTATTATTATTATTACTACTATTGCTATTATTAATATTACTCTGATTATCGTCGTCGTCGTCGTCGTCGTCGTTGTCATCATCATCATTATCATCATCATTATATCACCGTCATAATTATCATTACCATCATCATCAACATCATTATTATCATGATCATCATTCTCGTTGGTGCGAATAATCGCTATCATCCTCCCCCCAACTCCTAGCCAACTATTTCATTGGCATTATAGTTATTTTCTTTATCGAGACATTCTGAGATTACGTTTAACACATAATACGCTTTGATGATCTCAGATGTCCGTTCGCGCATCTGCTCGAAACAAAAGGGTGAAGAAAATGCTTGCAAGCATCCATTTTATCTTCCGTTTTTCTTTTCTCATTTTTTCTCTCTCTTTCTCTATTAAAAATAAATCACACATGTTATTTCGTTTTATTAATAATGTATTTTGTTTGTGTTTTCGATAATATGTTTTTTTCTTTCTTTCTTATTTATTTTTTATTTCTTTTATTAAATCCCGTCTTCTTGTTTTTTATTGTTCTATTTTAATGAAAGAGAATTACATTTTTTTTGTTCGAAATATAAAATAATTTTCGCGATAATTAGTCGGATAAATCGTTACAGAAACTCTCCTCGTTTTAATTATTATTACCATCGTCGTCGTCGTCGTTGCTATGATACATACAATATGTGCGTTTGTGATATTATTATATCGCGAAAATATTATTACCTCCACTTTCTCCGTTCCTCAATATATATATATGATGATAATAATAATTTTAATAAGAATAAAAAAAAGAAAATACCGCTTTCTTTTCCTGTAATTCATTTTTTTTTTGGTTTTGTATTTATTACTTTTTTAGTTTCCTTTGTGTTTTTGTTTTTGTTATATTATATTTTTTGTCCAAAGATCTATTTTCTTTCGAGCCCCCCACTCACCATGAGGCGGATGAATTAACGCTAACAAAAGGAAAAAAAGAAAAAAAAAATATTTTCATCGATCCGAACGTATTCTTAATATAAATAATATGTGTCGAAAATGTATACCGATATATAATATATATCGAGGATTTTTTCCTTTGAAAAAATTCGCACAATTTCGGTCACGCTACGGGCGGGCATCCTCGCGAGTACGAATATTGTTCGGGAATATTATACTAATGTCTCTATTTAAAATTTCCATGTCTCTAAACTAATTTACTAAATTTTTCTTTATCTTCCTTACCAATTATCTATTTGCATTATTATAATTATCCTTATTCTCTATCATCGATTAAAAAGCAAAAAACCTAAAGTGCAAGTTCGAAACAACGGATTGTCGTGAAAAAAAGCTTAGGAATTTCGTGGAAATTTTTTGATGTTGAAAATAAATCATTTATATATATATATATATATATAATAATGGCTGAGACCTCTACGAGCTATAAATAAATAAATTTATTGATTCATTATATATATATGTTATAGAATTTTTCTATAAAACCTTGATATTTATTATTTGAAATACGATATTGGTCGTAATTTTTATGTGGTTTCCGAAATTATATTCAATTAAAAGTTAATTTATTATTTTCTTTCTAAACATAATATAATATGAATAAGTTGAAAAGAGTAGCATGCAAAACAGTGCCAAAAAAATCTACATTTTTATGCCTTGTCCCAAGGATATATTTTTTAATTGTAAAATTAAAATCAGAAACATGAAAAATATACGAAAGATGGCACGTAGAGAGCTGAAAGAAAAGACAATTTTAAACGAAATTATTCGACTATATAAAAATATTATCAACAATGTTCTACGAGATTTCTATCGCTATTCTATTCGCTATTCTTCTTCTTCTTCTTCTTCTTCTTCTTCTTCTTCTTCTTCTTCTTCTTCTTCTTCTTCTTCTATTTCTACTTCTAATAATAATGCTAATTCTACTTCTGTCTACGTGACGTTCATTCAACGCATACTCTTTTATCCCTCATTAAATTAAGGAAAAAAAAAAATTAAAAGAAAAGAAAAGAAAAGAATAGAAAAAAAGAAAAGACGCGAGGAAGCGCGAACGGGGAGGAGAAAAGAGAAAAAAAAAAAGTAAATTACATTAAATTACAATACATTTTAACATAAATAAATAAATAAATAAATAAAATAATATATAAAATAAATAAAATAAAGAAGAGAGGAGAGAAATATATTACGAACGCCTCGAAGATAATCAGAATCGGGAGTTATACAGTTTTAAATAAATTTAAACAAAATATTGATAAATGAGAAAAGCACAGGTGAACAACCGCCGCCCGAATTTTTGAAATGAGGGGGTTTATGTAATAATTGAGATACGCTCGACGAAAACTTGAATGAATAAACACATTCATTAATTAAATAAATAAAATAAATAAAAGATAATTAAATAATTAAATAAATTAATTAAGAATTAAATTTAATTAATTAATTAATAATGATAAAATTAAATCGAATAATAATCGTAGTAATAATAATCGTCGTCCCACAATCGTATTTTTTGGGGGCTTCATCGTCGTCGTCGTCTACGTCGTCGTCGTCGTCTTCGTCTTCGTCTACGTCGTCGTCTACGTTGTCTACGTCGTCGTCTTTGTCGTCGTCGCTGTTTTTTCTACCTCCTTCTCTTACTTAGTAATCACAAGTCGATATTCGCTAGGCTTTACGAGCGAGAGCATGCGGCTGCTACCACAAAGAATATACAAAAAAAAAAAAAATAAAAATAAAAAGATACATATACGTGTATAAAAGTGTTGAAATAATAATAATAAATAATAATTATATAAGTATTAATATTCCTTGCAGACTTGGCGTCACCTAGACAGTCGAACACGCCTTTTGTCAATTCTTCATATACTATTACAGATTACTACATACACATATATATATAGATATATATATACATATACATATGTATGTCAATAATGCATATAGTATATATGTATGTATATCAAAATTTCGTTACGAGATAAGAAAAAATAAACGAAACATCTAAAAACAAACTATAAAACGAAAGAAAATTACAAAAGTTGGCAATGAAGAAAATGAAGAAGATGATTTTGAAAATAGAAGAAAAAAAGAAGGAACGTTAAAATGCAAGAGAAAGAAAGTAAACAAATAGATAATTGGAAAAAAAAATAAAAAAGATAAAGTAAGACATATGTGGAAATAAAAATATTCATTCAAAATAACGTATAG